ATGATTGTTTTTCAAATTATATATTTTTAAAATACGTACTGAACATCCAAGAGTTAATTTGTTGGTAATATGTTGAACGAAAATTAAAGATTTTGCACTATTTTTTTAGTTTTGTGACCGAACAGTATATTGATTTGGGGTTACTTTGATAATGCTCGATGAATGTAGAAAAAAAAATGATGGAAACTCAAACAATTTAGTTCTTTAAATATGAAACTTTGAATGAGTATATAATCAGAACACATCTTTAGCAATTACAACATTGAATTTGTGATGGCTGTATCAGAAATACATTTCATAAGTGATGGTTTGAGTGCTTTTTCAAAAAGGCGAAAAACACGAAAATTGTTTTCTAATATGTTTGTAAAATATGTTGAGCATACTATACAAAAACTATATACGATATCAACGGAAATACCCTAAGCTACAATATGAAACCAATTTTTCTTATTTAGAAAAAGCACAGCTAGTAAATTTAATCTTTATATTATACTGTCAAAGTTACCCGCATTATCAAAGATAGCCCGTTTTACGGTAATTAATTTTAAGGATGGCACGATCGAATTCACAGTCCACGCAAATCCTCGTCCCTTGCCCTTAACGCTCTCTCTCTCTCTCTCTTTACGTATTTGTCCATTCAGCTTCATTAACAAAAAAATAGTCTTAACCATCCATCAACCCTTTTGTGCACCATTGAATACATAAGGGTCATTTCGCACCAAGTGTCCGAGGCGAGGCGAGAAAAATGAGTGAAAATAAAATGTTCAAGAATATTTTTTCTCATAACTTTCGACATTCTTTGCTTAGAGTATCTCAGAAAAAAAGAACATTACTTTTTGTAGATAAGTGTTTCTTATTATAAAAAAGGATGGAGAACACGATGGTACTGTCAGATTGGATATCTAAATAGACTAGTACTGAAAATTTTGCATTTTTTGTTTTTAAACACAATATTTTTATATTTGGCAATACTGTACAAAAAAATAACTTCATGTTTAGATTCATAGCTTTATTCTTTCCGGAGATAATAATAAAATAAAGTAGTCCTTTCTTGAAAATCACGAAAATTAAAAAAAATGCCCTTCTGGACCGAGGGGTGCATCGAACGGCACAAACATTTGGATTCTTAAAATTTAGAATAAAATAAACATCTCCTCTAAATTTTGTCCAAATCAGAAGAGGTCAATTACACTTTGGCATTATTTTTTCTCGTTTACTTGGCGTGGAATGACCCATATGTATTACTCCTATGTTTCGGGGGTTGCCAGGAGCCAATTCATTTACCTACTTAGATAAATATATAAATTGCAATGATATATTGAAATGGAGGACCAGACTTGGATCTTGACGGAAATGTAATATTGCCAATTCAGAGAAAAAATAGCATTTGGCGATGGATTATTAGCTTTAATAATATGTTGCGTTGATTTTTTTTCCCTGAAATGGCAATATTTAACTAAGCAAGGAACTACGAAACAAAATCAAAGGTCATAGAGAATGGAAAAGTGGGGCATGCTGGCCACTAGGGTGGTTCAAAATAACGATTTTGCTCCACCAAGCTCAATCGATTCTAAATCAAGTCCTGATCATTCTCCCAACATTTGCGTTTATTTGGTGGCGAACTCATACTGCACTGGCCCTTTGAAGTTTTTTATGGGAATTACTAAGGGAAAAGTAAACTTCATGTTTTCAATGTCCTAACTCTTGGCCATAATGATTTAGGGAAAAGGTTGCTATCTGCTTATGTGAAATTTTATCAGTCACAACATTGCTGAAGAACACTTTTTGATTAAACTTCAAGTTAATTAGTTATTAATCGATAAAGAAGCCGATAACTTTCTGATATGATTAATCGACTACTTTTAGGGCATTTTTTTATAATCCATTTATTTGTCAAGGCTTAAATGCGTTAGCTTTGCGGAGCCGAATATTTTTTACATGATTGTGTGTGCATATCATTTTCTTACAACTAATGTTAGTAGAACGGGGGCCGATTACTCGCGGTTTACTCGAGATTAGGGATTACATTTATTGATCATTTGGAGAGAGGACAAGGGAAAGCATTTTGAACTATTTTAAAACTTAAACGTAAAGGATGACTAAAACACAAAACATTAAACACATACAACAACAGCTTTAAGAAAGTCGTAAATAAGCTTCATAAAGTCGATATCACGGCAAGCCAAGACGTCTCTAATTGGCTTAAAGGGTTGTTTTCCTCGGACCCTAAGGGAATCACACAGAATGGATCTCGCCTCATGATGCAAGGACCAGGACCAAACAACATGCTCGATGTCGTGATAACCGTTTCCACAGGGGCACAAGTTGCTGTCGGCAAGCGTAATACGGAAGAGGTGGGCGTTTAACGAACAGTGATTGGACATGAGCCTGGACATTACACGAATAAAATCACGACTCATATCCAACCCTTTGAACCAGGGTTTGATCGACACCTGTGGGACAATAGAATGTAGCCATCTTCCCAGATCACCATCATTCCACTTTTGTTGCCAGTAGGGCTCGTAAATATCGCCTTCCATAGCGCCCACCTTGGCCAGCGAGTTCGCTTTCTCATTGCCCGGGATAGAACAATGAGAAAGGACCCATAGATACCAAGGTGATGACATACGAGCTGTTTGATAAAGCACTCAATGACGATCGTATTTCCTGGAGGAAATACGCCGAGTGCTTCATCGGCCTCATTGAACGCATAGCCTCCAGGGAGCTTAGGCTATCCGTAAAAATGAAATAATGGTCAGGTGGAAGTGAGGCAATACGCTCTAACGTGTACGATATAGCTGCTAGTTCAGCAACGTATACCGAACACGGCTTTTGAAGGTATGAGGTGCTATGAAGATCTTAGAATACTCCAAAATCAGTGGACGCATTTATCACCGACCCATCTGTGAAAAATCTCTTCTTGGTGGGGACGTGGCGGTATTTGTTCGCAAAAATAGTTGGGACAATCAGGGAACGGTGAGGCTCTGGAATTCCTTGAATCTCCTGCCTCATTGTGAGATCGAATCTCACGGATGAACAACTGAAATGATGGGAGACAGCGCGATTGGGGTTGAACGAGGAGGGGCCGATGTCCAGAGTCATGTACTCGTAGTACAAGCTCATAAATCGTGTTTGAGGATTCCGCTCTAGCAGCTTCTCAAAGTTTTTGATCACCAGCGGGTTCATGACTTCACAGCGGATGAGGAACTGGAACGATAAGGTGTTAATATTTTGTCAGAAATTAAAAAAAAACTCATACACGTTTCTACCTTATAATAATCATCTAGTCAATATTCTACAATTTTATGAGTAGATATAAATATTAATTTAAACACGTGAAATTTATATCTTCCCGATAAAATTGCATAATATTGACTGCTTCTATATATAATGCCCATTATTCTCATTAAAAATTCACGTACCAATTACATGAAAAGCATTTTAAACAAAACGGAATGTCACGTAAAAGTTACCAGATGTCCAGTAGTTTTCACCGCGATTTCACGTTAGCTGAAAGTGGAAATCAGGTTTTATTTACCTGACTAATCACGTAGATAATTGAAGCTGAATTTTATCGGCTACGTGCAATTTCGGTAAAAGTTACGTGAAAAATAGGGTGGACGAAAACCACCTATCGTGATTACCTCTCACCCCAGCAGGCCTGGGTTCAATCCCAGTCGGCGCCGCCGGGATGTTCTGAGGTATAACATCTCTGATCACGCCTTCCTTCGGATGGGAAGTAAAGCCGTTGGTCCCCGGTTCATGAGTTGATGGGTCGATAGGTAGGGTCCAGGTGTGGGAGCTGCCTTCCTGGCACGTCGGTAGCATTGGTGCTCAGCACGGAAAACAAGATCGACGAAAAAAAACAAACCAAAGAAAAAAAAAAAAAAAAAAAAAAAAAAAAAAAAACCACCTATGTTTTCACGTCAATCGGACGTGAAAATTTTTCATTGTGAGTATTTTTTCCTCAAAAATAATTTAATTAGAGGAATGTTGGCTTCGGCAATACCTTACCTTACCTTAAGTCCTAAAGCACTCAATAGATGCGCTGAAACACAATGTATCCACATGCCAAAATTGTGCTCTCAATGACGTTGTTTACCCCCTGACGATAATAGGTTAAGGTATTGCCGAAACCAACATTTCCCCTGCCTACAACTTCTTCTGAGGCTTTTTTTATCAGATCAATAGTTTTCATGTTATGAATTTTTGAAGAAAATATTTTGAAATCTATTGGAGAGTGGTTTTGGGTGAATTTTGCTTCAACAAAAATCGATATTTTGAACCACCCTCATGGCCACGCTAACGAAACTCGAATAAAATTTCACTATTTTGATCTGTATTTAAATAATTCTATAAGCTTACAGAATCTTCCCGGAATTATCTATGATCGCATGCTTGAAGAACAATTATACAAAAAAATTAAACTGCGAGAAAAATTGAATAGAGAGAATGTAAGAATATTCCTACAATTATTTCCACTCAAGGGGCAAGATGACAACAATTGTAGCTATAAAAAATCTTTCTGTTGAAAATTAGATAACTTTTATATAATCCCGAATAGTACTGCATAGATATCATGATAAATATCAATAAATAACCGTGCAAATGATAAGTTTACGTAGATGTCTAGCCCCTTGCATCAACATGACTCGCTGAACTCAGGACAAAGCACTAGAAATCATCAAGGGATGGTTTGAATATCGCCTTCTTTCTTTAATTACACAATACAAGCAAAGTCCAACCATCAATCATTAGACAGACACAACAGCTTTGACCTTTGCAGACTATTATGCCAAATCCTAACCTAACGTGCCAGGAGAAGGCCTTTATCGAGCTTTTATCGTCCTAAATGCCGTTAGTTACCTCCATCCAACAAAAGGCAACAAAACAGTGACGTCAGCAAATCGAAACGCCAGGAGACCGACCAAGGCACCGCGTATCGTTCCCTTGGCTACCGTTAGCAGTTGTTTATTGTGATGGAAATCCATTCTGAGTCACGACTTCGAAGCGAATCGGTTTAGTTTTCTTCCTGTCCGGTGTACCGTTCTAAATTTCCAGTGTTTCCAAAGTGTTTGAGAGTGTAAATTTCACAGAGCATTCGAAATGGCTAAGAAAGGAGGAGTTCAGCAGTTACAGGCGGAAATCAACACGGATGAGGAGTTTGAGAAATTCTTGGAACGTGATGGTTTGTTGGGTATGGTTGTTTCCTCGCTTTGTTCAATTCGATTCAAACTGCTGGATAGCAACGATAACACAATTACCCTCTTTCCACTTCCGCATTCCCGGCGTAGTCATGGATGTCTATACCGATTGGTGCGGTCCTTGTACCGGTATGGTAGGCAGCCTGAAGAAAATCAAACTAGAGCTGGGTGGCGATAATCTCCAACTGGCAGTGGTAGGTTCCGATAGAGTGAAAGAATGACCAAATCGAGCAAATTAAAACATCAACCAGATTAAAATCCGAACTAATTACGGGTGCAATCAATCTTCTTTTAATTATCTGCCGTGCAATCTCCTCAAACACTCACACATTCTATCCGTGTCGTCGTCATTCAAGTTTATTGTTTTGTTGGTTTGTTGTCGTCTCGTTCGCAGTGCAAATCCGATGATATCGAAGCATTGAAGAGATTCCGGAACAACAGTGAACCAACCTGGCTGTTCGCCTCGGTAAGATTACATTTTTTTTCTCTCTCCGTTTTATATGGCTATCAGCTCTATCGCAAACATAATGATGATTTGTTGCTATACGTTGAAACGTCCAGGTACCTACTTATCTACAAACAAATTGAAAGAAATTCTTTTCATTTACATCCGACCCCTAATGAGTTGTATTAATATTGTTTTGACATGGAAAGCAGCTACTCTTTATGAACCATCCCAACTCCTTTTGCAAATATACTCAAGTATCGGTCTCGCAAGTCATGTCTTTCAGGCACTGTCAACAAAGGTTTCTCTTCTTGTGAAAGGGTCAAATCTCGCACGAAACGCATTTCACTATGAACGGCTGAAATCCATCGGATAAACAGAACAATGGAAAATGCTGCCTCTAGCTTGTTTTATTGATTTACTGAAGCAATAACATTTTTATTGGGACAACCCTGTTTTTGCGAGGCAATCAATTATCATAATAAAGAACCGACCAAAGAATAAACGAGTTCATTGAAAACTCAACGCAGAGGATACAGCACCTGTTAGCGTCATTCCTTCCTCTACTGGAACTATGCGCCTGTCCTCAACACACTGTTCTTTATGCACTTCTACAGTTGAGCAGTTCCACGCCAAATGACGAATCGGAAAAACTCGAGTCTATCCGATTTTCTTGAAACTTTGCATAATTGTTTGTGATTGGCAATGATTCACATATTTGCTGAAATTCGGCCATTTTTGATCTTGTAAAAAACTCAAAATGGCTTCTTTGAATTTAGGATGGAAACGGCACTTCTGATCGATATAACGTCTGTAGTCTGAAGTTGTAGAAAAAAATTATGTTTTCATGGGAAAAATATACAAAAACATGTTTTTAGTAGTTTCAAGTAAAAATTTCAAAACAATATTTAAAACCTTAATAGTACGTTCAGACTATGGCTTATATCATGTTATATAGGCTATCTTGCAATGAGCACTCATACATTTTGTTTTCACTGGAAATCCTATGCTTGAGTGCTCATTGCAAGATAGTACAGCTATAGTCCGAACGTACTATAATACATATATTAAAATGTCCTTGTCCGATTTTGGATTTTTTAAAGATCTCATAAAAAAATAAAACTTTTGAAAAGGTTTGAAATTATGGACACTTATGATTGACAAAAATCTTGGTACAATAACTTTTGGTTATATTTTTGGACTTTTTGTTAATACGTTTCATGTAATTTATACTCATACTGTACTATACTGTCCGAGACATTTTTAATCATTTTCTGTGAAAAATGTCACAAAATCTAACTCATAAATAGCTTAAAAAGTTGAATAGCTCTTGTGCTATGATTTTTGATTTTCAAAATTTTGCATGTTTCATAAAAAAAAATATCAGGCAAGCGTCAAACCCACCACCTCCCAGTATGGTTTTTTGCTTTTTAGCCGCATCTGTACTGACTAGGCAATGGGAGGTCTTTCACGAATCGCTAGTGAAAAATTGATCAACAAATGTATCCCTTCTATTTCTATGCACGGATCCAATATCAGGACGCTAAAGTAGATTCAAGGCAACAAGCACATTTCAGCAAATGCCAGTGTTCAAATCTATGCATGATTGCATAAACAATAGCTATATGGTAGCTAACATGTGTATACCTGCCACCATAAACTGTTGCTCTTGTCATGCGATGTGACCAACGATGTCAGAAGAATTACCTTCACACAAAACCGGTGTGAAAGGAAAGGATTATCCTGGGAAAGAGGATTCCTAACGGTTGCCTTCGTGATTCCGGCCAAGATCCTTGTTTCGTTTCGTCCGAGAACGCCGCCAGGTTGAAGTGCCTTCTCTATTCTCTGACATAATACCAATAAATGCCAAACCATTAATAGGCTTTGCACGCGATTCAGGAAAGCAGGTTCCGCTCGCTAGCCCATAGAAGAAAATGTGTGAAATGCTATTATTATCGCTCCGCGTGCACAAGATGTTTCCATCAGCTGGATAGTATGCCAACAGAACGCATCACACGCCAAAAGGATAAAATAATGGATCATGCAACAATGAACTGAATAGAGCCAGTCGACGGTCGGTGGTGTGTTGTTGTATGTATCACGTGTTGATTTTCTACTTGTTATACACTGTACAAATTACGCTTCGGGCATCATCCGTGGCTAATGAAGCACTTTGCGGATAAATAGACGATTTGTGCTTGCTGACTAGTAGTGACATGATCTATAATGGAAAATAGGTGGAACATACCTACAAGCATGGCTGTAAAACATTTTGCTTGCATGTCTATGGAGCTAAATTGTTGCATGTGGACTGTATTGATACTCGCAGTGTGAAACACTATGCTGTTTAATTAAGATTTCAATTACCTGTTCTCAAGGAAACAAAAATATCTCCAAGTGACAAGCGATCAACAAGCCAAACGATCAACAAGCCAAACGATAAAGCTATGTGAGAAATGGAAAGCAATAATGATATAATCTACTTCCTTTTTCTTTATGACAAACAATGAACCACTCTGTCAAGCAGTTTTGGCGTATCTTTCTACCAACGATTTCTCAAAACTGGACCAACAAATTACTATTTTTTAATGAAACGCTCAAATCGTGGCTACTTTTCTCGTGGATGTGGAATAAAAAATCTCAAAATATTTTTTTATTTTGAAGTTCGAGTGGTAGTAAATGTCATTTTAACTGCTCGAATGAAGTTATTAATTTATGCAACACAGCTGGTTCGTGTCGGCAGAAGGAAACGACCAAATTGTTGGCAAGCTGCTTCACGAAGTAAGGCCGAAAATATGATACACGTGTGTGAAGAGAATTTTTTCGTTGTGTCTTTTCTCGATTCCGATCAAGCTCTGTCCTCTACCGTATATATTGCAACAAAGCAGGCTTGCAATATATCATTATCCTTCTTCCACTCCGATCGAGCTGTGTTGCAGTGGGAGTTTGTCATGGTAGTCGTAGCAGTCGTTTTGTCTCTTTTATTTGTTTGGATTCGCTGCCTGTGCTCTATCACTACGATTCTGTTTGTAGCGGTGAGGAGTTTTACAATTGGAGTTCAAAAATAATAACAGCATGATTTTTTAGGGTCAAAATAACATAATCGTGCTTTTTTTAACCGCAATATCTACCAAACATCGCAATCAACAAAAAGAATAGTGGGAGCTCCACATTCGAACTTTCAGTCGCAAAAATTGCGGAAACATTAAATGAATCCATAATTTTTAGGAATAGTTATCACAATTTTCTATTTATCGTGTTTTATGATACACACACTTAGATTATTTTACCGAAATCTGTGAAATTTTACTGAAATCTCAACAGCTGAACGTTCGGTAATTTTTCACAGATTTCCTGTAATTTTTCACGGAATGTCTGTGAAAAATTACAGGAAATCTGTGAAAAATCACCGAGCTGTTTACCGAACGTTCAGCTGTAGAGATTTCGGTAAAATTTCACAGATTTCGGTAAAATAATCTTAGTGTGTACAGAACAGTGATGCGACGATTAGACGCAGCAAGCCAAACAGTAAAAGTTTGAAGTCTTCCTAAAACCCTGAATTAATTTTAATTTTTTTTAATTCAGTTTTATCCAGTTTTCCATTATTTCCAATATAGGGGAAGTTACGTATTCTCGGCAACCTAAGCAGCGACCTTCTTTCTATAGCCTCCCAAGTAACAATGCAAGCTGAACATTAAGAACAGAAGCTGACTATTGGTTGATTTAAGGTGTACAAAGCTGATTAACATCAGGCTGAATATATAGTTGGTTAATAGTGCATGAAGCGAATTGTATCCCCATAATCCAACCTCAATAGGTTAGCTGATCCAAAGCTTGAACAAGCCTTATTTAAGCTTAACACAACTCCACAAATCAGCAATGCGTAACACATATTTTGATAGCTTGTAGAGTCCATTTTTCCATCACACCTCGCAATTTCAAGAGCACACGACTCAAGATCTACGCGGGTTATACATCTTCAAATTTCAGACATTGCTTGCTTCTCCGCAGCAAACAACAAGTAGTAGTTTCAGCTACGTGCGTTCACAGAATCCTCATTATTTTACATGTGGAATTGCGAAGTGTAACACGAAAATGGACGCTACAGGGAATCACCTTAAATGTCGTCAGTGTCTGTGTCACTCGTTACATGTCCGGCATTTTAGTTCTACTAAATTCACTGCCTACATTTCTATTAACAGGCAGTGGCAGCAGTAGAGACAAGAAAAAGGAGATTTTTAGGAATAGCTCCAGGTAGATGTAGGCTGCGACGACGTCGGAAGTATACATTTATAATCCTGTATTTTGTCTGTTATATTTTACTGAAGTTGCAGACCGCGTTCCACAAATATTACTCAATTATAGTACTAAGTTAGCATCCAAATGACCATCAAAATAAATCACGCACTTCTGTCCACATTGTGTTAACTGCACTTGAAAATGAGAGGAATGTTTAACTGTCATCAGTTGTTGCTTACAATTCTGCATTGCTGTATAATACTCTTCCGGTTGCTGTTATTCAACTTAAATTTGACATGCTTCAAGTTAATGATCATATCTTTTACCTCACATATGCCTAAATGGCCCAGTAGGTATGGTTGACGCCTATGAATCAGCGACTGCCGGTTCGAATCCCGAAATGCAAAGGTAATTTTTAGACTTATATTAACAAATATGTTAATCCAATTAGTCAGCAACAAGTTAAAGCAGTTCCATATAAATGCATAAGATAAGATATGAAGCGGTCCGCCATTATTATTTTTGAAATAAAACTAGAAGGCTTAACAACGGTTGAAAAATACTGTTATTTAATGCCTTAAAAAGCTTATAATGTATTTTACTATTAAGCTTTTGGCTGATTTAAATCACCAGATTTAGATGTTTAAATGCTGGACAAAGGTTAACGTGGTCTATGTACAGCAATTATTCAATCTAAGGCTGAATTGAAATCGATTAACCAACACTTGTTAAGCATCAAATTGTTACCTGGGCTTTTTCTCTATGGAACGCACACATATGCA